AACCACAGTTGTCACACATTCACCACCGGTTGCTGGGCTTCCCTCTCACAAACTCCCACTTCCCCAATACCCTGCCATCATCTGTACAGACTTCCACGCATCATCTCCATTGATTTCTCTGACTTGGTTTACATAGGTCACTTCCTTATATTCAGTAAATGAACTAACTTGGATAAGTTTGGATAGGTATTTATTTTATTTTTTTAAATTTATTTATTCAATTTGTACCCCGCCCTCCCCACCAAAGCAGGCTCAGGTATAAAATACTAAGCGTTTGACTTACAATCAAATCAGAAAAGGCTCAAATCTGTACTTTATCTATGAAGCTTATTGGCTGTCAGCTCAGCTTACTTCACAAAGGTTGTTGTGAGGATACAATGTGCTCAGATCAAGGGCAACAACATACAAATGCCATAAACAATAAACCATCACCATCCTGCCAGATGATGGTGGCCGAGGGCTTTGTACAGCAACCAGGACAAGAATCTCATTTTCCAGACTACCCCACCTATCCTCCCTTCCATCTTTCCAATTTCTACCATGACAGAAACTGATAAGGAATCCTATATTCAAAACCTTTGAAATGTTGGCAGGATTTGAAATGTGTTTGTTGGGGGTGGGATACCTCCCACCCACCCCCAGCTCGCATTGCTTGCCAACACTCAAGCAGCCAGGAGGGGAAAACATTTTTTAAAAAAATCACTGTCAGGTGATGGTGTTACATCACCTTCAAAGAAAACCTGGAAGTGGCACTGCTCTAGGAATCGCTGGAATCACCAGAAATGGATTCTGAGACAGGTGCGATATCACTACCAGGTTTTTCCCAAAAGTGAGGGAACTACTTTGAGAGTGCCCCCAATGTCCCTGCCCCCCAGACTCCTGCCAGCTGCCAGCTACTGGCAACTGGCTGACAACCCTAGGTACTAGACTTTTCAGTATATTGCTATATAAACACAAAGTAATAAAACTTTGATATCCTTTATATGTATGGAACACAATCATTTTTCATTTAATAGGGAACACACACTAACTTTTCATTAAAAACCTGTTTACTATTTCAGGAACAGTTCTGTAAATGCTATTTTTAATTCTCAGTTTCTATAGCACTGTTCCATCATTCTGGCTGTAAATTTAGAAGAACCCAGCAAGAAGAGTTCCTTTTAATAGTTGGCAGCGAGGATTTGGATTACAGTGCTTCTGCGTTCTAATCCAGCCCATCTGCCATATGCTTTGACACTCTCATAAATCCTCCAGCCCTGCAACAGTTATAATTTTCCTCTGGGAAAGAAAATGAACACAGATCCCCCCTCCCCCCCCCAAGATCAGACTGAAATGCCAAACATGATTGCTGTGTTTTTAATCAGTGAAACTTTTTTGCTGGTTCACCAAATCCAAGCACTCCATACCATGCATGATGCAATACATTGGGCCAGATCCCTGTCACACAACTCTGCAGTAACAATGCTGAATTAAACTCCACAACAGATTATCCACATTGTAGTCCTTCTCAATGCAAAATCCTCGTTCATCCAGTGGCATATGGAGTTTCCAGATGGCAAGATTCTTTCCTCACTGCCCTCTCCTCATCCATCAAGGAATAAAAACCCAAGAAATATACTCAGAAGATTTCAAAGCATAATACAGGCAACAACTCAAACACTATTCTCACATTACAAACAGATGCATCAAACAGATTGTTTCTAATACCTCCACACATTTAAAAAGAAAAAGAATGCAAGATTCAACTCAAACCATGGTTTGCAACTCTAACTGGGAAACACGAATAATACTTCTGTCAAGGTGGCTCAGCCTGAATGGTCAAATATTACAATTTAAAACCTGATCAGAAAGCAACAGATAGTTCATTGCCTGAAGAGATGGGTTAATCAGCAGATATATTTTAAAAAGTGCACAAGCATCTGCACTGGCTGTTACTGAAACAGTTCACACATAATGACAAAACACGGATTGTGAATGAACCTGCAGGAAACCTCAGGGTCAAGGATTCCATCATCCATTCCTCGTACAACCAGCAAATTAAACACTTCTGCATTCTTAGCAAATCACGATTTGTCATTCTGTTCAAACCACAAAGCCCAGGCCCCAACTTACCATGAGCGGCATTTGCAGCCCAGGTCTGAAGTGGGATGGAAAGGAAGCAGCCAGCTCAGAGCCAGCCATGTGGGAGGAGGAAGGGGTGAGCCCCAGCTGTGATCCAGGCAGGCTGCAGCTTCAGCAGGTCCAGTTGGCCAGGAAGGGGGGGGTCTGAGGAGGGCCTGGCTGTGTCCCCCCCGGTGGACCCGCCCCCTTCCTCTATGTAAGGCAAGCACAGCCAGAGGACTCTCCACAGTTCATTCAGGTTCTCTCACCCTTCCTGCCTTGTTGCTTTTGTTTCAGGTTCATTCAATTTGTTATTTATATTCTGTCACAGATTTGGTGGGGAGAAGGAGAAGGAGGAGGAGGAGGTGGTGGTGGCGGCTTGGATTTTATGTTATACTCCACTCAGAGTCTCAGAGCAGCTTACAATCTCTTTGCCTTCCTCTCCCCACAAAAGACAACTTGTGAGGGAGGTGGGGCTGAGAGAGCTCTGAGAGAACTGTGACTGACCCAAGGTCACCCAGCTGGCTGAATGCGGAGTAGTGGGGAATCAAGCCTGGTTCTCCAGATTAGAGTCCACCACTCTTAACCACTACACCAAATGTGCCTGCATGCCTGTCTCCTCTGATTGGGGACTCCTTTAAGAAGTCGAGATGGAGCCATTTAGCAGCATGCCCAGCTCAGGGCCTATCAGCTGGTTCTCACCACCAAGTGGCGTGGGGGGAACCATGCAGCAGTTGGCCCCCATATAGTCACCTGGGCTTGCCACTCCTTGGTCCCCCCCCCCTTGCAGCAGGCAGGCTGGGGGGCAGGATTCATCGGGTAGCAGGCAGGTCATCCAATACCAGATCCGTCCCCATGCTGCACCAATGCTTCTTTGCTTGTGTTCAATAAAAGCTGTGGCCAATTTTTATTCCATAAATCTGTGTTTGGGTTTTCCTTTTACATGCACACTCTATGAGGTTTGTTTTCTTCTTTCTCAACCATAATTAAACAGTGCTTAGGAAACCTGTCTGGTATAGGAAAAGAAGAAGAAACTGTAGATTGTGGCTCAGAGGAAAGAGCAAACTGTGATATGCCATGAAAGCAGAAATATTTAATCAACTGGCTGCACAGAAACAGACGGTTCAATCGCAAGGATTTTCCAGCCTTGTTTTGGTTATGGCAAACTATAGTTATTATTTCTGAACAATGCTAAAGTCTTCTAGCCCCTTAACAATTTAATTAACAAAAACTCCCAACATGTTTTTAAAAATGAGGTTTAGCTCCTTCCCCAAAACAGAGAACAACACCCAAGATATGTGAAGTTTTGAGAGATCATAGTTGGTACTGAGGGACTAGAAAGCTACTGAGGCATGACCTGAAGTAATCCCAGAATAAAAGAGAATGAAATAAAGTGGTGGTAGAGGAGAGATGGGGATGACCGGTAAGGAGAAAATAGTGATTTGGTCTGGGGAACAGTGACCCAGGGCAAATGGGAGAAAGATGTCTTCCCCTTCCCACACTGCCACTTTGGGTCTCTGTCTCTTGCCTTCATTGGGCCACTGCTTTCTCTGCTACCCATCACCACTTTCTTGTTATGTTCTTCTAGAACAGGGGGTACACACTTTCTCAGACAAGAAGGTAAGCAGAGATCGACCATTGGTTACTCACCTTGAAGGGTCCTTCTCCTATGAGGCGTGGAGTACATCTTGTGGGTGATTCTCATCCATCACTCAGAGAGGCAGGAACAAATTTCAACTTCCTGTGGTGGGAGTCATCTTAAGCTCAGTTCTGGTGCTCTGAAAGCAGTAACAAGGAAGCTAACCTTCTAAACAGAAGCAGAAAAACTAGAACAATCTACTAACTTATGACCAAATAACAACCACAGTAACTCAAATAGGAAGGAAAGTTATCACTCTCTTACGCTCTGTCTGTTATTACACTGATAGAAGAAAAAACAGAAAAGGAACAGAATAATAGCATAGATGACGACCTGGGAGGGCCAAGATGTCCTCCATGGCTCAGAGGAGAAGGACCCTTCATGGTGAGTAACCAATGGTCATTCTCCCTCTGAGGTGGAGGACATCTTGTGGGACCTCCCAGAGCAGTGTCCCTAATATTTGAGAGGGTGGTCGTCATTGCAGGAGAGGATGGTTTGTAGCACTCTCCTGCCAAAGGCTGCGTCCGCCAAATCATATAGGTTTAATTTGTAATGCCTAATGAAAGTGGACAGAGAGGACCACGTAGCGGCTTTGCATACTTCCTCTACTGAAGCTCTGTTAGTGAATGCTATGTTTGTGGCGGCGCTTCTCAGTGAATGTGCTGTGATTCCAGCGGGAGGGACTTGATTCAGACTTCTGAATGCTTCCGCTATGCATGAGCAGAGAACTTTGCTGATCGCCGCTTTAGACATTTTCTTTCCCGAATAAGGGGGAGAAATGTTCACGAACATAGCATCAGTTTTCCTAATTGAGTCTGTCCTTAGTTGTAACACTTAAGAGCCCTCCTGATGTCTAACGCATGCCAAAGTTTCTCCTTATAATGAGTGGGATTTGGAACAAACAATGGTAGGCATAACTCCTGTGTTCTGTGAAATTGAGTGCTGATCTTTGAACAGAAGGTAGGGTCCGTCCTACCTTGTGAAACATGCAAAGAACAGACCAGATGGATACGGCACTTAATTCTGAAATTCTTCTGGCTGATGTTATAGCAACCAAGAAAAGAACCTTCATCCTCAAGAACTGGAGTGAAATTTCCTTTAAAGGTTCGAATGGAGGTTTTGTGAGGGCCGAAATAACTGTATTGAGTTTCCAAGTCAGGAACCTATGTTGAGTAGGCGGAAGTTTGAAAGAAACTCCTTTTAGGAAGCGAGTTACATGTGGGTGTTGAGAAATCAGAATTCCTTTAACGCACGGGAGTACCGAAGCTAATGCTGCAACCTGTCTTCTTAGAGTCGCTGCCCTCAGACCAGTGTCCATACCATCCTGTAAGAAGCTCAATATGGAGGCCAATTCAGGATGCAAAGGGTCTGTTGCCTTCCTTCTGGCCCATCGGACGAAGGCTTTCCAAGTACAATTATAGATCTTGGTGGTTGAAAGACATCTGGATGACATGATGGTATCAACGACCTGGGAGTTATAGCCCATCTTTGTTAGTCGCTGCCTTTCAATTCCCAGGCGGTCAAAGAGAACAACTCCGGTTTGGGGTGCCAAACAGGACCCTGTATCAGCATGTCTGGTGCTGCTGGAAGTCGAAGAGGTTGTGATACCGCCAGTTAACAAAGGTACGTGAACCACGGGCATCTCGGCCAGTATGGTGCCACCACTATGACGTGTGCCTTGAGAAGATGAATCCTTCATAGAAGTCTCGGTAGAACTGGGACTGGGGGAAAAGCGTAGAGAAGTCCTCTGGGCCACAGAGTCATCAGAGCATCCGTGCCCTCCGCTTGAGGGTGGTAGTATCTGGTAAAGAACCGCGGAGGTTGGGCATTGTCCGGAGTCATGAAAAGGTCCACCTTGGGTGAACCTAGTGTGTTCGTTATGAGGTGAAACAGCTTCCCATTCAGGGACCATTCACTCTCCAGAATCCATTGACGACTCAACCAATCTGCCTGGATGTTCGCCACCCCTTTCACATGTTCTGCCTTGATGGAGGATAGGTGCTTCTCCGCCCACTCCAGCAGCTTCTTGGCTTCTCTGTGTAGGGCCATCGATTTGGATCCTCCTTGTTTGGTTAGGTAGGCTTTTGCTGACATGTCTGTCCTGATAAGGATGTGTGATCCCTGGATCATGGGTGTGAAGTGAAAAAGTGCCAATCTGATGGCTCCCAGTTCTAGAAGGTTTATGGGTAAACTCTGTTCCTTCGTTGACCACTCGCCCTGAGCAGTATGGTGCTTCATCATGGCTCCCCACCCTGACAGACTGGCGTCCGTGAAGATTTGAATACTTTCTTGTAACCAGAAGATCTTGCCTTGAGTAATGTTGTTTATATGAGTCCACCATCGAAGGCTGACTTTTACCTGGAGAGGGACCTTGATCAAAAAATCCATTCCCATTGCAATCTTCTTTTGAAATGGTCTCAGGAACAATTGAAGCTGTCATTAATGGAGCCGTCCCCATTGGAGCGTGTCGAAGGTCGCCACTATAAGTCCCATCATTTTGGTCAGGATGGAGAGTGATGACATCTTCGCCTTGATGATCTGCAAAGCTAAGGATCGGCTCTTTCTTGCTTTTTCTGTTGGAAGAAATAATTTCACCTATCAAGTGTCTATGGTCACTCCTAGGTGCTGTAGTCTCTGGGTAGGGACCAGTGAGCTCTTCTTCAGATTGATCATAAAAACGAACTCTCTTAGGCATTGGATAGTCCATGTCATGTCCAGGCAAGACTGTTCTTTTCTCTTGGATCTTATCAGTAAGTCACCTAGTTATGGATGAATGTGCACCCCTTGTTCCCTGAGAACAACTACTGGGTGCACCATGATCTTTGAAAATACTCGGGGAGCTGACAACAAACTGAATGGGAGCGCTCTGAACTGGAAGTGGACGTTCTCCATGCAGAACCTGAGGAATCTTCTGTGGGAATGGAAGATGGGTATATGTAGGTATGCCTCTGTCAAATGTTTAGACGTGATAAACTCTCCCGGCTGCAGGGACTCGGCAATGGACCGTAGTGTTTCCATTCTGAAATGTTTGGGTTCTACATATTTGTTGACGAATTTGAGATCCAGGATGGCTCTCCAGTCTCCTGTTCTCTTGGGGACGGTAAAAAAGATTGAGATTGAATAAACCCCTGGTCCTCCTGAGACACCTCTTCTATGGCACAAATAAATTGAAGATGGCTGATTCCCATTTTGGTTCTGTATTGTTTTTGAGCGTTTTTTAATGGAGGAGATGCTATGAACCTGTGAGGAGGTAGTTTTCGAAATTCTATTTTGTAGCCCTCCTTGATTACTTCTAGAGTCCAAGCATCTGCTCGGGATGTCAACCAAGTCTGATGGAAGAGTGACAGCCGACCTCCCACCGGTGGTTCCGGATAGTCATGTTCTAGAATTTTTGGAGTCCCTGTCTCCTTTGCCTTGATGGTTAAAGTTAGGCTTGGAGAACTTGTTAGTGAATCCTCCTCTACGAAAGGACGGCTTGTTGTTCCAAGTCTGTCTCCTTTCTTGTCTAAACTGAGGTAGAGTGTGTTGTGTGGGAAAGGAGGAGAAAGGTGAAGAAGAGGCCCCCTTGTCCCCAATACGAACCATCTTGGGAAGATCTCGAGTCTCCACAAGTATCCGTTCCAAAGGCTCACCGAAGAGTTTGTTTCCCTGAAAAGGATAAGCAGAAACAATTGCCTTAGATTGGTAGTCTGTGGGCCATGCTCTTAGCCAGACCATGCGACAAACTCCAACTGTAGCTGCAAGAGCCTTTGAAGCGCAAACCATTGTATCTAGCATCGGCCGCGTATGACACCACCTTTAAAACTCTATTGGCCCCTTCCAGGAGCCTGCGGTTATTTTCAGGCAGCAATTAGATGAGTTTTCTCATCCACACTATGGTGGTCCTGGTGACAGTGGATGTCGCCGCAGACATTTTAATCGCCATTGCGCTAGCTTTATGGGCCTTACATAGACCAATTTCCACTCTCCTGTCAAAGTTGTTTTTGAGATTTCCGTGACCATCTTCAGACACCAAAGACTGCAAGGCTGCGAATGGTAAGTCTACCGCTGGTACCTGTAAAATATCTGAGGCAGAAGATGAAATTGGGTACAATTTCTTAATGTTTCCTGGGACAGGTCTGTGAGCAAGAGGTCTCTCCAACTCTGCTTTCATCTTTCTGATATAAAATTCAGGGAAGGGAAAGGCCATTTCAGAATAGTCAGCTGGAGGGAAAAACTCATCTTTTTTTTCAGATCCCTCCCTTTGGCCCTGTACATCACCCTGCTTGTCTGTTGGATCCCCAAGCATCGAGAA